CATCAACAAATTAGGATTTATATTATTATAAATATGCCTTAGATGGGCATGAAGAAATACAGAAAATATGGACTGCATTTTGTAATGCTTTTGCATGTAACAGTAACTGAATGTAAACTCTGTGTGAGCAAAAATATTGGGGCTACTGCCATTTCAGGGCAATGAATGGGCACTTGCTGGATGTGATATGACCATGCTGGGTTCCCCTATATTTTTAACTGAAATATATTTGTGTGTTGATAGGCAATCTTAGAAAACCGGCTGTTACAGATCTTCAAGGTTGAAACGTTTGTTGGCAAAAAGTACAACATAGAAATTGGCGTGATGAAATGGAAAAGTTAAAAACAATGTCAACAATATTACGGAATCACCAGTTCCAGTTCTACTTGTACTGGAGATGTAAAACACACTACTTCTGTGATAACAATGAAGATCTAAAATATTTTAAATACGAGCAAATGTTAAACTGCTAACAGTTTACAGATTACTCTGCAAGTTTCATTTTCCAGCCTAGGCTATTGCCAATTGCAGGATTAGCAAGATAAAAATAATATATTTTTAAAAGAAACTAAAAGCTCTGTGATTGAGCTCTTCATCCGAGTGTATTTGGCACATTAGTTGCCTTCAGTGGTTAATGGTCATGCACCAGAATTATCTCCTTCAGCCCTGTGACTTTCCAACTCTTCCTGTTCCTTTTAAGACTTTTGTTATAACCCACTTACATCTACGTTTTGGTTATCCATACTAAATTTTTTTGAGTTGGAGGCCTATCTTTTTCTTATCCTCTACTAATTCTTTTGGAATGTTTTCTATGTAAAAGTCAATTATATAAATGCAAGATTGTTGTTACTCATCTTTCATATCAATAATTTTCTCTGCTTCTCAGACTTGATCTCCGTAAAAAATAAGACATGAGACAGGAGTACGCCATTTGGCTCCACAATGCTGCTCAACCATTTAAGAAGATCATGACTAGTCTTAAAAGCAAAACATAGCAGACTTGCTTTCGGCTCCCAGGCAAGGTTTCTCTTCAAAAGGCACTCGGCACCTAATTGGGGCACCTGGGATCATGAAGTGAGGGAGCCTCCTGCTCTGGATGTTAACCCTGTCCCCCTCAATTTGTGAGCCCCATCCCATCCTCTCATACCTCTGTCCTGGACCTTCAGCAATCCTAGGCCTCTCTCTGGGGTCATGGTCAGGTGTCACTGGTGGTTATGACCCTTGTCAGCTCTGGTAAATCCCACCTTTGTGTCCTCATCGCAATTTGCTTCTCTACGTTTATTTGTGCTGTCAGTAAATTTGACAACAACATAGTCAGTCTCTTCACTTCAGTCATTAATATGGTTTAGTATAGTTTGTAAACAGTTGAGGTCCCAGCATTGACTCCTGTGGCACATCAATATCTACAATTTGCCAACTTGAAGATGACTCATTTATCATTACTTTCCATTTTCTGTAACCTAGTCAATCCACTACCAATGCTTTTATGTTAACACAAGCAACCTGGGCTCTTTATGTAGTAACCTTTTTGTGTGGCACGTTATTAAATGCTTTTTTGGAAATCCTAATGTCACAATGTCTGCTGGTTCCCCTTCATCTAGACTACTTGTTACAGCCAAAAAACACTCTGCAAAACTATCAAACATGACATTCTTTTCATGCAATCAAATGGTATCAACGTGATTGTATTATGATTTTGACTTGCTGCTCCTATCTTCATAATGAAGTGCAACATTTTCCCAGTGACAGTTGTTAGCCTAACAACTAAAGGTTTTGTGCTTTCTGCCTTATTCCTTTCTGAAATAGGGGTATTCCAATCCATTGCAATTTTTCCAGAATTGAAGGAATTTTTAAAGATTACAACCAATGCAACTGCTATCTCTGAAGCCACTTGTTTTAGCACTATAGTACTTGTCAGCATTTAGTCCCATGAGTTTGCCTGGGACCTTTTTTAATAATGATAAAGGTTGTTAGAAGTCCCTCTCTCCCTTAACTCCTTGCTTTTCAACAATTACTGGGATGCATTTTAGTGCCTTCTCAGTTTTTTTTTTAACCAACCCATTCAAAGATGTTATTACACAGCTCTGGCACAGATGGGACTTGAACCAAGGTCTCCTGGCTCAGAAGTAGGGATGCTCCCCCACACCACAAGAGCCCTTGTAGCTTCTATCAAGAAAAAGAGTGCAGGATATTTGTTCAAACTCTTTGACATTTCCTTGTTTTCCATTCACAATTCTAAGGGATGTTTATATACTTTAACTACACTCTTCCTTTTAAATAGTCTCTTAGAATCATAGAATCCCTACAGTGTGGAAACAGGCCCTTCGGCCCAACAAGTCCACACCGCCCCTCAAGCATCCCACCCAGACCCATCCCTCAATAACCCACCTAATCTACACATCCCTGAACACTCTGGGCAATTTAGCATGGCCAATTCACCTAACCTGCACATCTTTGGACCGTGGGAGGAAACCAGAGTATCCGGAGGAAACCCACGCAGACGCGGGGAGAATGTACAAACTCCACACAGACAGTCACCTGAGGGTGGAATCGAACCCGGGTCTCTGGTGCTGTGAGACAGCAGTGCTAACCATTGAGCCACTGTGCTGTCTATAATTATATCCCATTTTTTATTTCTTGCAAGTTTACTGTCATCTATTTTCTTCCAGTGTGAAGAGTATTCAAATTGTGTCTCTTAAATGTCAAAACAGCTATAAATGACACTAATTTACATACATCCTTAGCCAAAAAATTTAAGTTAGATTGTTTGGACTGTCTGACGTCAAGAAAATAACACCATGTGTGGTGTTTTTATGTGCCGTAAACTTCTTTCAATATTTTCCTATCAAGTGCAATAGAATTTTAATGATGTAGATTTCTTAAGTTTCTTGTAGTTTAACATTGTTTTGTAGCTACTTGTACTTTCTGTGTGTGAAACACCAAAAATATCTTGTGTGTTCACGTGGGCTTATGATATAACTGTATGTTCCATTTAAATGGATATAGATAAGTTAGTGGAACGGGTGGACAGATGGCACATGAAGTGCAATGCAACGAATTGTGAAGTTATTAATTTTGATAGGAAGGACATGGAGAGATTGTATAACATAATCGGTACAGCTCTTAGAGATTAAGGAACAGAGGTACCTGGGTGAATATGTGTAAAGGGTAAAAAGATGGAGGGATAGGTTAATAGAATGGTTAATAAAGCATACAGTACCCTGAGCTTCATTGGTGAAAGCAGAAGATAAAAAAAAGGAGATCGTGTTGAATTTGTCTTAGTCACCATTTCAGCTTCAGCTGGAGTATTTTGTCTAATTCGGAGCGCCCAACTGTAGGAAGGACATGAACATATTGGTGTAGGTCCCCAAAAGATTCACAACAATGATTCTAGCGATGAGAAATTTCATTTATAAAGATAGTTTGGAAAAGTTAGGACTATTTTCCTTTTGAGGAGAGAAGGCTGAGAGGAGATTTGATAGAGGCATTCAAAATCATGAGGGGTATGAGCAGGGTAGGTTTGGAGAAACTGTTTCAAATCATGAAAGGATCATGAATGAGCAGACACAGACTTAAATAAGTAGCAAAAGGAGCAAAAATGAAATAAGGAATAACTGTTTCACAGTGAGTGGTTAGGATCTGGAATGCTTTGCCTGAAAGTGTAGTGAGAGCAAGGTCAATCAATACATTCAGCAGGAAATTAGATAGTTATCTGAAAAGGAAGAATGTGCATGGGTAAGGGAGAAGGCGGAATGAGTGGTTCAGTGATAATTAGGCAGAAGCATATTATGTCATAAGGTTGGAAATGGCCAATCTTTGTAAATGAGTATCTTGTCCGCAGGCAATAGTGTGTTGATTGGATTCTGAGGTTGAAAATATATAGACTATTCTGAACGGTGGCTGAGCAGAGAGATGAAGATGGCAAGAATAAGATGACAACAATGAAGGAGGAAGTTACAGCTGATGCAGGCCTAGGTGTCACATGAATATCTAACAACACAGGCATTAGGAGAGATAAAGAGCTGGTGCAGAAGTGGAAGTGACTGTCACCACAGTACATGTGGAATCTATCCCTAAGTATATGAATGAAATCATCAAATAATCATGAAGTAGAGGCCAAGGATCCTTGTGGAAATATTATTGATAGAGATGTTCTGACTGTGACTGATACCAAATGAGGGTGCTCTCACTGGAAGAAAACCATTGAAAGAGGATGGTGTGGTCAGTTGTGACCAAAACTGCATAAAAAACGAGGAAGAATAATTCAGCACGGTCGTAGTCAACAGCCCCCATCGGTTATGACTTTGTTTCGGACAGTTTTGATGCTGTGGCAGTGACCTGATTAGAACATACCGAAAGGATAGGGTCAGCATGTACTTGGGAGCTGACAACACAATCAAGGAATTTAGAGGAGAGTGGGATATTGGAGATCCAGCAATAGTTTGTAAAACAAAAGAGTGGGCAAGTATGAGCTTTTTCAGAAGAAAGTTAATGATGGTGGTTTTAAAAGAACAAAGAATAACATCCAAGGAAGAAATCACTTTCAAAGTTAACTGTCATGAATATTAGCAATGTGAGTTAGTTGGTCAGAGATTTAATGGAAATAGGGTTAAGAGAGCAGGAGACGGGCTTCATGGATGAGATGAACTTGGAATTTGCATATACTATATGGGAGAGAAATTAGAGAGACTCTTGAATTCAGAGAGAGGGTAAGGGGGAGACTGTGAAGAGGTTTTGCATGGTGGATAGGGAAGGTGAGGGGAAGCAGCAAAGTCAGTGGATTGATGGACCCAATCACAAAACAGGAAAGAAAAGTTTGCAATTTAATGATAAAAATCAGAATGTTGAAGTTGAACCTCTTTGCTTTAAGAGTAATAAGCTGTACAATTTTAGCTTCAGTTGCATAACATTTCAAAGTTTCCAAAGTAACTCTGGATTTTTCTTTAATTATATGATTGCCAAGTTGACTGCAAGTTCAAGTAACATGTATTTGTAAACAGGTCTGTTTCCAGATGTAGGAGGAGGTTTCTTCTTGCCAAGACTGGAAGGGAAACTTGGATTGTACCTTGCCTTAACAGGATTTAGAATTAAAGGACGAGATGTGCATCAAGCTGGAATTGCTACTCATTTTGTGAAATCTGAGAAGGTATCCTTGTTTCTATGCTGCATCTATAGACTATTGCACACAGCAATAACTGGCTAAAGTTAGCTAATGCTATCAGATAGTGGTCATCTTATTTTCTTTGAATAACGAGGGTAATAATAATTGCAGTTCAGTCATCAAAGTTGGCAACTCACACACATTGCTTGAGGGAAATTAAGCAGTTTTGACTCAGTGTCTGCAATAAGCACTGTTATGGAGTAGATTTCACTCAACATACTAAATTTTACAAAGATAAAACAACCACAACTTTTGTCTCAAAATCTGAAATTTAGTCTTCAGTTTTTCTTTATTTGTAAACTTTGAAACAACTTTACTGGACTTAATGGTCCTTGACTGCAGAATAATGGATCATGGGATCTGTGTTTATGTTGGCAGTAAAATTGTTTGTATATTAACAGATCACACAACTCTAGTGACACGTGACTTTGACATTTTTTTTAACTAATTCAAACTGAGCAACAACTTTAAATATGGTAGAAGCTAACATGTAGTCTTAATGTTAAAAATCTGGGGTCATTCTTAAACAACCAATCTCTCTAAAGAGAGAATATAACCTCAAAGTGCCAAAGAACTTCCTCCTTAAAATGTTGTATGTTAGGAAATGCAGTAGACGATTTGTGCATGGCAAGATCCATATAAATAAAGACAATCAAAGATTCTCTATCACTGGAAGACCCAATTTGGCCCATTTCGTCTGTGGTATCCAAAAAACAGCCTTCCAGACTAATCCCAGTTTTCAGCTCTTAATCTGTAATCCTGTAGGTTACAGTGCTTCAGTTTCACATCCAAGTATCTTTTTAAAAAAAATTTGAAGATTAGTATACAGGAATATAGCAAATAAACAGGAAAGCTATATGGAACATTGTAGTTTATTGTGAGGAGAATCGAATACAAGAGTAGGGAATTTATGCTTCAGCTATATAGAGCATCGGTGAGACTGCATCTGGAGTGCTGTGTACAGAACTGCACACCGTACTTATGGAAGGTTTACTGTGTTGGAAGCAGTTCAGAGAATGTTTGATAGACTAAAAGATGGAATGAGCTGATTGCCTTATGAGGAAAGGCTAGGTAGACTACGCCTGTATCATCTGGAGATTAGAAAAGTTGGAGGTGACTTAATTGAAACATATAAAATCCTGAGGGGACTTGACTGGGTGGATGTTGAAAGGATGTTTCTTCTTGAGAGCTGTGATTTTACTGGAGGTGGTGCAGTGGAGATTCACCCGGAAGTTACCTGGAATGGAGCAGTTCA